AGTAGATGGCAGTGAAACAATAGGACATAATACCATTCTCAGCCTCCAGCAATTTAAGGATGACATTATCAAAGAAGCCTAAGTGAGTCATTTTAAAATCACTGTTTGAATGTCACCTTGGCTATAAATGTTTATTCCCAAACTATTACTTACCTGTTAATTGTTCTAGTAAAGATTTAAAACTATTCCCTATCCTCTCTTGGATTTCTGTTGAATCTTCTGAAATAAAAAAATGTTACAAATAAATCTTTTTAAAATAATGTTTGTTCTGCTTCAAAATACAAAACAGTTAAAAAAAAACACAAAAATATGCACTGTATGGAATGCTTCAAGTGTGAATGACTGGTACATTAATATAATTGTAAGAAAATTCAGGAAGACAAACACATAAGCACATAAGATTAAATAAAGCTGTGATTTTCTTCATAACCTAAAGTGTCACTCAAATAATCTACACATGGTTGGTTTATCAATTTGTTTCCAACTCATTAATATAATTTATTAACTAAATGCAAAGCCATTTTGAAACTGTATAGATACACCTCCACCCCATGCAACACCCCTCACAAATTGGTTTAACCTCCCTGCAACCCAAACACTTACCTAAGCCATTGGTATCTAGTTCATAAATATCACTAACAAGATAAAACAAGCTAGTCTGGCACTGACAGCTGCCATTACTGAAGAAGCCAGCCATTCGGGTAGGAGGAGGGCCAAGGACAGGATACTAGGCAAGAAGGAAAGAAAAAGAAAGATGTTGCAGCTTTTCCTTAAACAGAAAACAGTGTTGTTCTTTGGCACATCTCAGATTTCAAAAGCTACAAACTCAGGATCAGTTAAGTGAATTTTGCAGCCTGCAGAACGTTACAAGATGCACTGAGTTGCTGTGCTTGCATTCATGGGCATTAAAGATTCTGGGATCACTTTTCCTTAACAGGTACCTGAATTTTCTGCTCAAGAAACTGCTTCCCTGAATCCACTGCCGTTTCCAGTTGTTGAAGCAGAGACCGTATCGTATCAATTTTGGATGAGACACCATTCTCAGCAGTCTTTTCAGAGTTCTTTGGGTGAACAGTATGACTAAGAGTTGGGAGTCCGCTTACTAGCCTTAAAGTTAAAGATCGGATTTGCAACCAGATGGTTTCTTCCTCCAATGACAGTTTCCTATGCTCCTCAGAAATGTCCCTATAGAAAGGCACCAAAGGTTTTTAGACAAATGTTTTATATTCATAACAGTAGCAAGCTTGCATGAACATCCTTTATCCTACTCAGGTGCAAAGCTTTGGAATCCCATGTGGAAAGGTGGAATGACTGGAAATTCAGGGAACGGTATTAATGTGAATAAGTAAGATGAGAGCATTGTTAGAAATTGTAAATGATGCTCCTGTTAAATGTGCACAGTTAGCCAGCCTAGAAAATATTTAAGTGACACTTGGAATTTACCTTGAAATGATTTTCTCCCTAAAACACATTTCTGAAAGACTGACCCCTGCAGGCCTTTGTACTCACCTGTCTTTTGGATCCCAATTAAATAAGACCGTTAGGTCTCTGTTGTCATGCAAATCTTTCCATGGAATATCATCTTCCTCTGGACTCAGACTCATGGACTTTATACTTTCTTCTAAACTGGTTGATCTAGTACATAAATATTAGTATCGTTAAACCAAATGTTTAATAGTTGAGGTGAAAGCCCAACCCACTGATATAGTCTATATTCTCTACAGAGCACATAACTGTTAGCTACCATATATAAAAGTCAAACCTACCTACTAGCGTTAAAGAGATAACGCTGGTGGGGACAGCAAACTAGCAACTAACATGGACTAACTGGAGCTTGTACTGAAGGTAGTAAATGTTATTGGAGGGATTAGAAGTATTGGATAAAGTTTTTATTATAATAAATGAGTCTATGTTGTACTTCAATAGCACATTCCATCAGAGCACCTCAAACATTAAACTTCCCAACATCCCTCTGAGGTACCCTAGTAGTATAACACATTTTACAGATGGGGAAACTAAGGGCTTGTCTACACTTATAATGCTGCAGCAACACAACTACAGTGCAACCCACCTCCCCGAGAAGCGGTAGCTAGGTTAATGGAAGAATTCTTCTGTCCACCTAGCCCTGCCTATGCAGGGACTTAGGTTGGCTTAACTATGCTGCTCAAGGGTGTGGATTTTTCACACACCTGAGTGATGCAGTTAAACCAGCCTAATTTTCTAGTGTAGACCAGGCCTAAGGCTTACCAGGAAAGCTACTCTGATGACTCGTACCAGGTAGACAAGAAGCACCCGTTCAGGAAAGGCTGCCCTTCCCTTGCAGAACCCCTGCCTGGTTTACTGTTTGAGTTACTTTACTTTTGTCTCTGCCATACTTACAGATTTGCTTCAAGTAAGAGGTCTAACAACATCCGTTCAGTGCGGACTTGTGCAAAGTGAAGTGAGGCATTCAGCCTGTTCCTAAAAGCAATGAATTCTGGGATCTTCTCAAATGCACCATACTTGTAGGCTTGAATAATATATTCTGAGGTCTAGGAAGGAACACACATCATCTCTGTATTAGTTGCCATGATAAAGTAAAAACAACTAGAGTCTTAACGGGGTTATAGCCAACTCAAATTTGTGACTGCCATGAATCTGAAGGTGTAGAGTCTAGCAAGCACTTATCACCTGGGAGAAATGTGCAGTTCTGCTTGCCCAAGCCTCCCAGACACAGATAGTGGTGTAAACTTCGCTGCTTTCCTTTAGCAAAAGCAGACTGTACCCTGGGATAGCGTGTCTAGCAAGCTACCGATTTCTTTATTAAATAAATGAGCCAACACTAAGAAACCTCAAGTTGGTGCCACCCCTAAAACTGAAAGGCAACTTTTTTTTGAATTGTGGAAGCTTCCTCTTTTCTTGAGATCTTGTTATGCATGCTATAGAAAGTGGGGGCATCTCGAACAAAATGCAACCATTTCATTGAGAAAATCCATTATAACCAAAATAAATCTACCCCAGATTTTCCTGCGTCTGACTTGGGCATGTGCCATTGTGTGTTACTTTCACATAGGTTTAAAAAATTACTCATGCTACACTTTTGCTTCTCATTTTTATTAGGTTTTGAATACAGCATCACAGGATAACACCATGCGGCGTGTACACATTACATCTCAATACAATCTAAATCCCAAAGGAAACATCAGAATCCATGCATTAGTTTGCCTCCCCTCTCCAACGAAATGCAACAATAAAAACTTTAAACCAAGATTTCAGGCCCATCCAAGTGTTCCCCATGAAGAGATCTATATGAGTAGGGAGCCCAAAACGAGCACTTATTTTGATGTAAATATCAAAATATAAAGACATAGGAAGCAATTCATGCACCAAGACAAGATAGATACTTTACCAGAATTACTCTATCAATGAGAAATTCTGGAAAATCAGAATGAAAACCACAAATGAAAGATTATGGGATGAACTCACACCTGACATACACCGGATCAAGTCACCAGTGTGTGTCTATAATACATGATACCAACGGATTGAACCTGGTCTGAAGAGTTTGAGAGACTGTACTTAACACAGCCAAATGTCACCGTATGTTTGCCAAAAACAGGGAATGTCCGTTTAGCCAGTTCTCTCCCTGTCTTTTTACCAAGCAATTTGGTTATTTGCATAATATGAAAAATATGCCAATATTCAACAACATACCCTCTGATAAACAGCCTTGCAGAATTCATTTCAGGCCGCGGGATTGCGCCATGGGCGCTAATTCAACTGCATCGACGCGGCTTTTAAATCCCCATGGGACACCTCGGTGCTCTGTTTGCCTGCAGTATCTGGAGAAATTAAAGACGGACGGACACAAGAAAATTAAAGAGATTACTTGTGATTCTGCAGATTTAAAGAAGGACTCTCTTGAAAAGGATGAAGTTGCCTTTTTAGTTTTGGTCAAGTACAGCAATACTGCCTCTTTTCCTCCTGGTCTCTCTCAGAACAGGAATATTCAAGACTGTTGAATAGTGCACCCCACAGGATTCCTTAATGTTGGTCACCTTGTCAGGGGTTTAATTCACCTTACCATGGGGCATACATTCAGCAAGCAAGCTGAAAAATGCATTAGTTTAAGATGATCAGTACTGTTCACTAAGAACAACTGCACTTTTATGTGAGATCACTCAATTTAAACCCCAAATGTACTGTTTCAGGCAAAATCCAAAGAACAAAACACTACAGGGCATGTTTAGTGTGTTCTGTATTTGGACAGTATGGTGGAGACACATGTTTTGGTGAAATTTCAAGCCTTCTAAACAAGAATCTAAAAAGCAAGGAACAAGCATCTGGCAGTATCTTAACCCAGCTAAAAAGGTAACTTTTAAAGAACAGTCCTCCTTTAACATTGCAGTTAGATGTTGCTGTGGAACTAGAAGGGGATCCGGGAAGCTGACGTCAGAACTGTTAGTAGGATGAAGAGGCAACCCCCTAACTGAACAGCAGGAGGGAATGAAAACTGCAGGCAGATTTTGAACTAATGACAGTTGAGGTGTGACCTCTATTAGAAGCCCTATTTTTCCATTGTTGACACGACATCGTCCTATTCAAACAAAACTCTGGAAATGAACCTTTGTCTCTTGCAATTTGCAAAACAGACAGGATTTAAAGATAAATACTACAGGCAAGCTGGTAATGCTTACAGTAGTGTAGTTTCCATTAAACAAATCTAAAACTCCTCAGGTCAGACGATAGAGTAAATCAATGCTTGTCTTTCAGAAATCAAGGACGCTACTAGTCAGCCGCCTTTAATGACTTGTCTGGAATGCTGTATCCATGAGAAGAAAAATGACATGTGTAGGTCTTCAAAGCTGTGTCTCCAGACTAATAGTAGGAAGAAGTGGATAGTCCAAATGCATCTTTTTCCACTTTGATTCCAATTCTTTGAGATGAGAGTAAACCAATACACTAATCCAGGTAAGAAGTATTCCACGAATTCTGAAAACTGAACTGACACACCAGATTCTGAATAGCGTGCCTCCTGCCAAGAGTGTCCCAATACCACATGGAATGCGATTCAATAGATCTTTATATGGATATGTGCCCTGAGCTACTGAAAAGGGCAACTGAATCTTCTCCATCCCAAGCATTTTTATAAGTCATACTGATCAGAATAACCTTAGCCTAAATTGGTGCCTAGAGGCAATAATGCAGCCTGATGTTAGTTGAATCTGAGCTGTTTTCCCAATCAATATGATTTCTTGCTGCTTTACAGTCTTTAGTGCGCTCAGTCAAGAGAATTATGTCCATTAGGTGTTTTCTTCAAATCTTTATTTTTCCTTCTTGGCATGTTGCTGTCAAACTTTTTATCAATGAAAGTCACTTTGTCCTGAATTGCAGTCTCTTCCACTGAATTACTTGGAAACAGATCAAACATGGCTTAACAAAAGCAAGAGTAACTTCTCAATGAAACAAAAAGAAAAGCCACTATGTTGATAAATCCAAGACTCATCTATCAAAAAAATTAATGTTTCCATCCAGAATTGTGTTTCAGTATAATGAGTGCACATCCATCACACACAGTCCCAATGATCTTGACAAATAAGTTCAGCAGAGGAAAACAAAAAAAACAGGCAAGTAAAGGATAACAAAAGAGAAAGCTAAGATGTCATCTATCCAGCATGTCTGTTGCACAAGTGGGGTTCTCTGCCCCATTGTCACAAGATCTTTTCCATATCAGTTGCAGCCACATTTTGCAACTAAGATCACCACTTCTATTTCCACCCTTAGAAGACAGTTAAAGCATTACAGAAACCTTACACATTGAAAGAATTTAGCTATTGACAGACCAAGGAGATTCTTCTATGCAATGACTGCATTATATGCATCATACATGCATTTCTACACAGTACAGATAACCCTTACATTTGTATTTGATGTTAGAAGGACAAAGTGAGTTTTAAACCACCCACTGGGAGCCAAGAATTCCTAAATTCTAATCCCAGCTCAGACAATGACTCGAAGTGTGGCAAAGTCAGTCATTTTGTACCTCAGTTTCCTCACATCAGTAAAATGGGGATAATTTTCTATTACCTACCTCTCAGGGATGTTGTGATGATCAATGTTTGTAAAGCATTACCATGTAAGTGCTAGGTATTAAAATTCATTCCGTGGTACAAAATGTACCTCCTGAATTCATCGTGGGGAGCAACACTTATATACAATCATGTAACAACTGTTACAGATTAGAGCAATTTCTTCTATTCCTAATTGCCTAATAAATACTCACCCCAAGACTAAAGAAATGAGCCTAAATATCAGTACTTCTATATCTAGTTATGTTTAAACAAACAAAAACAAAAAACTGACAATGCAATTGTGGAACAACACTGATATTTTTCCTATGGCTACACCAAGATTCTTCCAGGAAATGTATTTCACAAATAAGAGTGTCATGACAATAATAATTAAAATGTGTTAAGAGTCACAAGCAAGCAACTGAATTTTTCGGGAGGCCTAGCCATGTGCAGGCACGTTTTAAGAAGTATCAAATGCTCTTCAGAGAGTTCAGTTGCTCTTTCACCAGCCCCACTCCAAAGAACCCCATTATAGTTGAGAGACTCATCTTTAAATCAGGAAGACTTTCCTGCAAGTCACGCCACCTTTCACTCTGCTGGCGGCAGTTGAAATGCGTTTCCATTAGCACTGCAGAATCCCAAATCCTCATCTTTATTTACTGTTTCAAAGTATTGCAGCTAATTTTTACTTCTGTTCTGCTTTACTGAAGCCAGTTTTCAATCAAGTTAGTTTAATTTTTCCTCTCTTCCTACCCTCACCCTATTCCCTACATAGTTACTGCACTATTATGACAACCTGCACCACTGAGACGAACCATACATAAATTATCCTGCTTCAACCAGTCTACTGCGAGGCTTCCGGACCACCGGTTCATGCCACCAGGATCTTTATCATCAACCTGTGCTGCCACGTAACTTTCCAAAATGCTAAATATGAATTTATGCCATCATGGACCAGTCACTTGCCATGTTATTTTTTATTTATAGTAACACAGGAATCACTATTCTTTAGCCATTAGCTCTAAAATGGCCACCGCAGGACTTTTGAAATAACTGTATAATATATTGGCTTTTAGAAAATGAAAGGTCAAAAGCAGAATTCCAGCAAGCAACGAAGTTTTGTGGTGGAATTATAAACCTTTCTGAACAGAAAACAAAAAGCTGAGGCAAACCTTTACTATAGCCACAACAAGCTGCTATGTTATAGATCCAATTTTTCTATTGTGATCCACCCACAGCAAATCCTGTATAAATCTTTCTATCACACGCATGTTCTTTTCGTAGTAACTTGGACACAACTGCTTTGTTAGGAGTCATGAGAGAAATTAGTGTGACTTACATCTTTCTGGTTGGAGTGGAAAAACCTGAGTGCAAAATTGCAGGATTGGGATGCAGCAGCATATTGACCCAGGGACTCTGCATAGCGTGTCAGAAGGTAACTGAAATATAACACAATAATTTGAATTATACACTATCACACAATGCCCTGAGAAGATGAATTTCATCAAGAGTCTCATTGACCAGAGAATCACAGCACAGCTTCTGTCTTCATATACAATTCTCAAGGGAGTTACAAGGTAATGGGAATTTGACAATGTTCATCTCAATTTTTTTTTTTAAATGTAAAGGTTCCTCTTTATTATTATTAAATTCTAATTTTGCCTAACCACGATCAGCAGGACACAGAGCTCCTCTTTCTATCTGATCCAAGGGGCAAAAGCTTTTTTAAGCTGATATCCACAAAAAAAGCTTCAAGACCCTTCCATGCACTTGTGATCTGTGGGCAAGTCTACATTTAAAATGCACTGGCGCAGCTACACTGCTTTAATGAAGATGCTCTAAGCCTGTTGGCTTAGTTATTCCACCTCCCTGAGAGGCAGTAGCTATGTTGGTGGGAGAACCTCTCTTGCCGACATAGTGGTGGGTGGGTGCGTGTGAAGTCGGTATAATGATGTTGCTCGGGCAATGTAGTTATACCAATATAGGTCTGTAATGTAGACCAGACCTGTGTTTTACCACAGCACAGTCTTGAGATTGCATGACCAGCACTGTATGTCAGAGCTAAGTTTTGCCTCCATACCAGGCATACAAATTCAAAAGGCATTTTCAAAGAAGGAAATCAATAAGTAGGTCCCCTTCACTCAGAGGTACCAAGATTTAAAAGTAACCAATATAAAACCACATAAGAAACAAATGTCAGAACTAGAAATGGATTGAGGGACATTATGGTGGAGCTGAAAAAGATTTGAGGTCTGTGTTTTACATGTAATACTAACTCACATTTACATAAGCACCTTTAATCCCACATGCTATTTTGATAAAGCCTCACAGAAACATGGCTCCCTCTGGGGCTGAAGGCAGAACCTAAGTGGCAAAGCACGCTGCAAAACCATAGGGACAGTAGGGGAAATCTGATTCAAGGGCGCCAGGATAAATCCCCCACCTTATTAAAAACTCCATGGGATCTTCACTGTCCACCAAAAGACAAAATCTTGGTTTTTAAGATCTCATCTAACAGACCTCTCTTCCCCTCCCCAGTGTGAACTGCATGGTACTCATTTTATCCATTTCATAAGGTGGAAGGGCTGAGCTGATCCTACCAGAATGGAGTGATCCTTTTAACAACATATTACTGGTTTGTAATTCTAAAGAAAACTGAAAATAGAACATTTAAAAATTTTGAGCACGGTTAGCAGAGAGCCAGTGTGACCATGTAATTCTGAGTATATACTACCCACCCGATGGTGTCGTGCTGTATGTGCTTAGCATCAAGGCTGGAATAAAGCTCCACAACAGGTTCAAATGCACCAAGCATGCAGTAAATTCGAATGAGCAGCAATTTGAACTGAGCATTAGAAGGACTGTGGGTTAATCCTTCTTCTAATAAAGTCAAGGACTGCCACACGGCCATCTCTTCACCTGGTGATGAGGAGACAAGCACACACAGACATTAGGCATGAACAGGGTATTTAATAGAGAGCAGGGTTTGAAACTGGCACAACAATTACACTGGGTTGAAAAACCTCTCTCATTGCTCCTCAAACACATTTCCCATGCTGCCTGCATGTTACTTTCCTCTCTTAAAGCTACTTTGAATGATACGAATGTCTAAATAAATTGTATTACGCTCAGCACCAAAGCAAGGCATGGAGGTACCTTAAAAATACATTATTACAATTCAATCTGGATGCAACAGGCACCTGCTAGAAGGAGCTAGTTCCAAGTGCCTGGCTCTTCCACTGGGAACACTCTGCTACCATCCACCACAGAGTGCAGACCCCACACACCAGCAGTGTATGACAGTGAGAGAATGACCCTCTGGTAAACGACTCCTGGACCATTTAGGGTTTGTAGACTGTAACCACATCAGAAGATTAAGGGTGCCTTTAAGCACCATGGAGAGGGGGTTAACTGGGTACTCCCTGCCCCCAACAGAGCCAGGAATTTCGGGGCATGTGGCTCCACCTGCCATCCTCCCTGGAGAACCTTGTGGGCTGGAGCTCTCCATGAGATTTCCCAGGGTGAAGGACCAAGCCTTCTCCAGAAAGGAGAGGCAGTAGCTGTCATACCACCAGGGGGTAGGAGGAGCTCCCTAACCCTCAACCACTATGGAGCCAGGACTTTGGGGAGATTTCCGTGGCCAGGGTCCCTCAATCAGTAATATCAAAGGGTGAATACCAAAGCAATGCCAGCAGTCTAATGTCAGGAGAGACTTTTGAATTTCTCTTAAGTGAAAAGGCGGCTGTGCAGAAGGGAGGGGGCAGATTCTCTGCAGAAGGATGCAGAGAGAGGCTGGACTGAGGAAGGATGGGGGGGGGGGTGGAGTCCTAAGCAAGGAGGCAGAGTTCCCAGGATTTTACTGGGACTTAAAAATTTAAATTCTTAAAAAATGTCAGATTTCAAACGAGGTTTGGGTAAGGAAACACCAGCTCAGAAGAGGACAGTTTAAACAGCTGGGGATAGTTTATGCAGAAAAAATCCCAAACCCACAGAACTAACAAGCCACATGCTGACCATTCAGTCACACCCCCACACACTCAGCCCTTCACTTGTAACGTTGTATCCTTGCCCCCAAACTTTGTTTTTTGTTTTTAGATTGTAAGGTCTTTGGGCAGGGACTGTATCTTCCTATAGATCAGAACAGCACTGAGCTAATGTAATACAAATAATCAATAGTAATAGTTCGATACACATCTCTGTTATAGCCTTAAATAACTAACGTCTAAGTTAAGCAATTTAAGCATTGTTTGTAGAATAAGTTTTGGACAAGAAGGGAGTTAAGCCTCAAGGAGATGGACCCTGGCTACGCTCGGAAACAACAGACTAATGCTGAGTGACTCAACAGTGACAGCTTCTGCCCAATAAGTAGCAACTACAACTGAGATTTGAAGGAAGCAAGGTTCAACCCTCCTGTTCAAGGGATGCAGAACACACATGTAGAAACAGAAAATTATTCATATAAGTTTTAAGAAGAAGACGACTGAAGGGACTTACCTGCCTCTAGCCACATATCCAGAAGCAGGTGAACTGCAAGCAGACAGTAATAATCTGAAAACTGCAATTCAGTTTTCAAACAAGATTTCCCTATAGAGGGGAAAAAAAGCGTCACCCCGCATAGTACATGTATTATCAAAATCATTACATTCAATAAACAGGGCCAATCATTTCTCACATAGCTATGTAAATTGAGGTAAATTGGCAGCCTTTCAGCCCACCAGATGACATTTCTAAAAGAACACTGTCAGGTTAATTATTTTTGAAATCCCAAGTTTCCTTACATCTGTTACTAATGTCAGATTATAAAAAGTGAACGAATTGTCAATGTGTTGCATTTCCTCATTTATGCTTTTTGCAGTTCCCCCAAAGTGGACAGGGAACGGATCCATTTCACTTTTGTTTCTAGTGAGTTTCACTTCCAGGCTCTTCTATACTAACTAAGTACTGCAGGGTCTGGGGTTACAGATTGTTTAAAGCAACCAGGTACAAATACAACTACTACTTTCTTTCTGGTAAAATTGAAAAATGTTACAAAAAGTGACAAGTTTTTGGAAATTTGGCCCATAAGAAAGTCTAAATATGTATTAACTGCAATGCACTAGTTTCAAGATTTTCTTACCAAACTCCAATCCATGCTGGTATCTTAACATTAACTCCCGGACTACACTCAGCTTTTGTTTTTTGTCAATGGTGTGATAGAGACCAAGCAATCTTGTTAGCTGAACCACACACAAGTGTTGTTGCAAAGCTTTGATGTCAGCTGGTAGTGCAAGTTTACCCTCTGCTGGTGCTGACAAAGGAATGATTCCCAGCAACTGACTGATGAACTGGAAAGGAAACACAAGTGTTAAATTTTGCAATGCACTTAGTCACCTCAAGAAAACAGCAAGTCTTATATCCATGTTCAGAAACTGGGACAAAATGAGATTATGGAGGTGATGGTACCAACTCCATAATTAAAGCGGCACTGAAATTTGAAGTTAGAGGGCTCACTCCTCAAGACGGTACATATTTGGATTCTGAGCTTAAGAATGTAGGAAGTACCAAAAAAGTCAATGGGATTACACACAGGCTTAAAGTTAACTATGTCTTCAAGTGCTTTGCTGGATTGTGGCCAGAATGCTCCACGCCTTGCTAACTTCGAGCCCCAAGTAGAAATTAAATTCTATTGTTATTTATTAAAAATCACATTTATCAGTACCAACCATACAACTCTTTCCAAGGAATTAACTCTCTCAAGACAGGGTAAGTTAGAATTAAACCTGTTCAGTACTTTAGGAATTAAAATGAGTCATTTTTAAAATTACACTTGCAATGTTACCATCATTTTCTCCTAGCTAAAAATGGCTTTAACACCACAATGATTATACCTGCTCTGAACAAGTTAGATAACATGGGGCTTAAAGTGTTGGCAGCAGTTTGTCTATAGTAGGGCTCCCAACATTACCACCATTGGGGGAGCTGAGCCGATGTTAGCAACAGAGGGATCCCTAATATGGACAATGCCCGTATGTAGTTTACATAGATTTTGTTAACAGCCTTTGACTGATCCAGGACTTTTTATCTAACTCCCATCCCCGAGAAATATACCACAATGGCTTAGAAGAACAAGGGGGTGAGTGGCAGGATTCCCAGAGGCTGAAGCCATCTATCAAGCTGCTCATGACTCTGCTGAAATCCTCTCTCAATTTAAGTTTAAATAAGGTAGGGGTCAGAAAGATTCTGGAAGAAATACAAATAGTGTCTCAGACATCTCTCTCAATTGATGCTGACGTGTCCATTCTGTCACTTAGATCTGCTACAGTGTCATTACTTAGTCCCCTAACTGTTCCTGGTGCTTGGCACAGATTAAGAGAAAGATCTTCCCAGAGAGTATTTACAATGAGACACAGAGCATGAACAAGGACAGACAAGGGGAGAAGGAAAGAAGGATAACGTTTAACACAATAGTAACACAAGTCCTATTATCGAACAAGCCAATCTTATTCATTCTGATATTTTAGACAGAAACTAAAGTTCATTCTATGGAGGTTTATCTTCCCTTGACGCTCATGTTTAACTCACATGGCTTCAATGGTAGCTGTGCATGTTTATACAGGGAGAATAAACCTCTTTATGGTGATAGATATTTTGGGCTCTACTGTATATCTCAGACTGTGACAACTTGAACAAGAGTGAGGAGAGGTTATGCCACTAAAATCAACAGAAGTGATGGGACACCACAGAACTGCAAGAAGAAGGCTCAGTCCTACAAATAGTTACTGAATTACTCCATGCATGCTCTATGCCTGCAGGAACAGAGAGAGAGAGAGAGAGTGAGTGTGTGTAGTTATTCAGAACTTTGGCATTTTTGCTTTTTAAGAAACACTATTTTTTCTGGTTAGAGCAGAATTTTGAATAAAATTGACCAGTTCTACATTATCAACAATTTGTTTTTCTAAAAAACTGATTCCCTCCCTCCCTGAAAGGGAGTTTCCTTTTGATATCACCACTGTCAAAAGCTGCATTCAGCTAACAGCTGGTGCACTCAGCAGTCTCCAGCACCCCTCCCTTTACTTCACCCAATGCTATTGTTCTTACCTTTGTACACTGGCTAGATGGGAGGAGGTCCACAAATACCTTCAGATCAGTGAAACAGCAGGGTTTGTCCCCAAACTTTTTGAAGTATTGGAACATTAGTTCTTCTGGGTCACCTAACAAAGAAACTCAGTTATAAAGAAGCCAGTTCAATTTTTTTTTAAAAAAAAATGCTCACTTAGAAGCAAAGTCAATAATATAACGAGGCTTGGAAGGATTAGATTTTTATTGGTAAATTTTGGTGAGCATCAGTTTCACCATACATACACACACACACACACACTGAAGAAAAAAATATTTCCATTGATAACAAAAATTTGCAATTAGGCAAAGTAAGAAAAAAGCTGCTTGAGAACATATTAGACCAGGGGTTCTCAACCTTTTTCTTTCTGAGGCTTCCCCAACATGCTATAAAAACTCAAAAGCCCACCTGTGCCACAACAACTGTTTTTCTGCATATAAAAGGCAGGGCCAGTATTAGGGGATAGCAAGCAGGGGAACTGCCTGGGGCCCCAAACCACAGGTTGTCCTGTGAAGTTAAGTTGCTCAGTCTTTTGCTTCAGCCCTGGGTGGGGGGGGCTTGGAACTCCAGGCTTGGAACTCCAGCCCTGGGTGGGGGGGGCTTGGAACTCCATGCAATGGGGCTTCGGCTTTCTGCCCTGGGCCACAGCAAGTCTAATGCCAGCCCTGCTTGGCAGACCCCCTGAAACCTCCTTTTTAAACCATGATTTGAGGACTTCAATGGCTCAGACACAGGTTTGATACAGGAGTGGGTGGGTGAGATTCTGTGGCCTGCGTTGTGCAGGAGGTCAGACTAGATGATCATAATGGTCGCTTCTGACCTTAAAGTCTATGATTCTATGCTTGCGGCGCCCGCAGTGGGCTCCGGACCCCCGGTTGAGAACCACTGTATTAGACGCTCATTAAATAATGACTGTCTGATCCTCCCACCCATAATTTCCAGGACTTGTGAAAATTTAAACAAATGAAAATAGAAAAAAATGCTTAAAAACAGATATTCTCTGTCAAAATTATTTAAAGAAAAAGCAGAGTTCTGCCAAGCCTAAATATAACTATGAGGAATTTTCAGTCCTGCAAATGAACAAATTCATAGCAGTTTCTTATGTTCAAAGTTAAACAGTGATTTATAAATCATGATAGTTTCATTTCAGATCTTACAGTCAATCACAAAGCTTAACCCATCTGATAAAGAATGAGAGAGGGGAAAAAGAAAACCAGGAGAATATTTCAAGCTACCCACGCACAATTTATCTGATGATATTTATTTTCCTGCATCTAAATGCAAAATGAGTTAATTTAAATAGGGTCTGCAGAAACCCTGCTAATATTAAACCACATTCTCTTCCTTACTCCACTCCCCAAAGTGTTTTTTTTTTAAACTCATGAAACCCCCAATAAGTGCATTTAACAAGCATTATTGTTCTCATTTACAAGACTGCCAAAGAGCCCAAAGAAATATCAGCAGGTGATTACACTAAGGATGACAAAGGGAGAGGATTTTCAAAATTATTAAGGGATTTATCAAAGAACAACTCCCACTGAAAGTCACTGGGTTTGTGCTCCTAAACTGATTAGGTGCCTTTGAAATCTCCCCCAAAGACCTAGTTTTAAAAGGTCTAAAACACTCTAGAATTGTTATCGGAATAATATTTGACCTTCTATAACACCTTTCATCTGAAGATGCTTTATGCATGCAATCCCTGCACACACTTTACATCAGGCACTACTAAATTGAGGATCCCAGTACAAAGAGCTTGTTCTAGGTTGGTGTTCTTTCCCTTAAGGTTTAATTTATCATCCAATTAGTGGCTCTTACCTAGTTTATATTCATCCTTACAACCCCTGTGTCGCAAACGTCTAATCAGCTCCAGTTCGGCTAGGTAGGGTCCCCGAAGTGGCCGAGAGCTCTTAGCTTCTTCTGTTATCCTCTCCTCTATAAATTTCACAGCTTGCTCTGTAGAATAATGCACTTCTCCTTCCAGAGAGCTGTGCAGTTAAAGATATGAGTATTGATTTCAAGTATTCTTATATCATTCCCATTTCTGAGGCACTGGTAGTAAGTGGTAAGCATGCCTTAACATCACTCCCTCAAAGCAATTAGGTTCGACTGACTCTCTGACCCAGACTCTGTGAAGGGAGCAGGTTAAGGAAGCTCTAGTAAAGTCAAAACTAGCATTATATGCATGCCTCCAGAGGGGGTCAGTGCCCTCTTGGAACAGGGACCAGCTTCTGCAGCTAAGTAGCTCAGGCACATTATGTGCCAGCAGCCATGATAATTCTTGAGATAGAGAGCTCTACATTAGCATGCATTTACACTAGCTATTTACCGATATTGGATACACTAAAGCAAGGATGGGAAACTGGCGGCTTGGGGTCCGCATCTGGCCTGCCAAATTGTTCTATTTTTCCCACCGCAGCCCAGATTGGGTAGGCAACCTGGCAGTCCCAGGGTCAGGACAGAGACAGGGCATCAGATTGCAGGGGGAGGGTCCTGCCTACTCATGTGTTACGTGACACTGTGGCAAGAGCCAAGGTGCCGGAGCAGGGAGCCGAGCTCAACTCTGAAGGACAGGAGCTGTTGCCACAAGGTAAGCTCACTCCCAACACTCCCTTCGGGGACAGGACCCAACCTCCAAGTCTCAAACCCCAGCCCATCAATGGTTTTAGTGGGTTTTGTGGCCCTCCACTACCTTAAAATTGCCCATCCCTTCATTAAAGTAAAACTATCAAGGGACAAACTAGGATTTTGACATCTACTGTATGAAGAGGAAAAAACCCACAGGGATAGTAGTTGACTTACTGCTCTCCTTCTGCTGGAGGAGTCCAGGATTTGTCAATGAGTTGAAAGACTGAATCAAAGTAAATTATATAGAACTGCCAATCATCCGAGCTAAAAAACAGGCAAGGAGCAAAATTAAGGAAAGTGCAAATAATGTTACTCATACATGCAAGTCTAGTCCTTTATAAAAACATTGTTAGATCTTGCAAGTCACAGAACAATTAAAACACATAGGGAAAAAACGCACCAAGAACCATTTCCACTAGAAAATTTCCCATCTTAAAGGGGCACTGTTAAGCAGAGGTTTCTAAAACCAACATATTTCAAGAAACTCAAGTCCAGATTTATATTTGAAGTTCTTTTACAATTTTTTAAAAGGGATTTTGGCTCCCATTAACATTTATAAAGGCCTTTCCAACAAGGGAATGAGCAGGTTCAAGAGTAGCACCACCAAATTGCTAATGTAGGAGCTGGGAAATGCATCTGACCATCAACAAACAAGTGAAACTGACTATATACAAAGTGCTACAGAATGCACGAAGTAAACTGAAAACTTTTCTCTCTATATCTAATGTTTCAATTGTAGTAACCTTAGCTGTTGTCATTCCCTCCAGTCCTCCCCCTGCCCCCCCCCAAGACTCTAGGCTTTAAAAATCTCCCCAGGATTTCCACTATAGTTACGTTCAACCTTTTGTTAAAGAACAGTTTTTCTAAGTAAGATGTTTTTGATCTCTTGGATGGCAGCTTCAGACAGGATTCACTATAATCCCATTAACTGTGTCCTAGTCCTTACAACAAACCCTCATGACTGTCTCAGAGGCAGATCTGATCATCCTGATTTGCTCTGTTCTGATGCATCTGCTGCTTTGAACGTGTCAGTGTATTTCCTAGGGCAAATCTACACTGCTGTGCTACATGAGCACAGCTGCACCGATGCAGCTACACTACCGTAGGGCATCTGGTGAACCGACGCTATGCCGACGGGAGAGCACTCTCCCGTCAGCATAATTACTCCGCCTCTGCGAGAGGCGGAAGCTGTGTGGGTGGGAGAGAGTCTCCTACCGATACAGCACGGTATAGACACCGCTTTAAGTCGATGTAACTTATGTCGCTCAAGGGGTGTCGTTTTCACACCCCTGAGTGACAAGTTACATTGACTTAAGTGGTAGTGTAAATCAGCCACCAGAAGGAAGCCTGGCAGATTAAGAGAACTAGATTGTAGGAAATAGTTGTAGGAAATGAAATTCAAGTACAAGTTTGCATTTTTTCTGAAAATTAGAATGTTGGATAGCAAGGTATGGCCCTCTGGAAATAGAGAATGAAACTAGTTTATTTCAGGAAAGCACACGTTGCACAACTCATTTGTTCACTGTGACAGTTAGCGGAGCTTCCATGTGAACGAATGATAATTTGCAGTCTTAGCAGCTTTCATCAGAGGATCTCCAACACTTTTCAAGCATTCAGTCTCAAACCTGGAGAGACAAGCAGCTGGGGTGCTGTGGTGACATGACTTGTCCAAGGTCACAGAGTGAGTCAGTAGCATAGATGTGAACACAACTTACTTTTTCTGTAGCAACCTCCTGGACAGTGCGTTGCATTCTGGCCACTTGCACAGCTTCTTATACATCGCCATACACTTATTCTCTCGACTCTGGAGCTCACTAGTCAACTTCTCTAAATCAGAAACAGTTGTGAATTTATTTCCTCAATCATTTTTCTTTAACAACTTTCAGAACAAAGTATCTTATTCTACACAGGATGCAAGAGAGAAAACACATTCTTCTCCAAGACTGGAGGGCCAGGACTGAAGTCCAGGATCAATGCCAAAAAGCACTGCTAAACCAAGAGGTCAGTAACAGCTTTAAGGTCCTAATTCTTGCAGGTCAATGGTGCTAGAAATGAGTGCTTTGTTATTGAAAAGCTGGGAGTCCTAACATTTCATTATTTTTAAGACCTGGTACCTCAACTTACTGGGGCACCTGGCATTGGCCACTGTCGGTAGACAGGATACTGGACTAGATGGATCTTTGGTCTGACCCGGTACGGCTGTTCTTATGTTCTGCATCAGCACTAGAAACTCTTTGCTGGATCAGCACCTATTTTCCAACTGAGGAAAGTGCTGAACCTGCGATTAGAAAGAAAACATTTTATGCCTAATTATTGGTCAACATATGACATAAGGAGGGACAGAAACTCTATTAAAACAATCGTCTCAATAACACATCACTACCCTCCTTTTTCTGTTAGAAGTATGGCTCAGAAGCTGCTGGACCCGGGGGCAAAACCTTCCCTTGAAAAGTACACAGGACTCTGTGCAGAACTGTAGAGTCTGACTGGAACCTTGATATTCTGGCTGCTCTTAAGCGACAAATTCACTTTTGTGGTAGAAAAATAAAGCTCTAAATCATCCAGGAGGAAGGGGCATAATGCCATCCCTAGCGGCACTGGTAGTTGTGAGCTGACATGATGGGATTTTGTGGGTTCAGTTATGTTAATCTGATAATTGCCCTTTGTACAACATGCTGCTACTTTAACACAGCAAATGGAATTGATGCTGCAAACACTCCTGCGTGCAGTAATACCACAAGCAGTCTGATGAAACCAGTAAGAAAATCTGCAGAATTGGGCTCAAGGTGTGTTACTGGTATGAGTTAAGTTAATTTACAGCTATCTTTAAACGAGTACACGTGCAGATCAATTAAATCCACATAATACAAGTTCCCAGCAAAAGACCTGGGGCAAAAGCAAGAATACCGTCAAACCTCCACACAGCTGGGGTTGTTAATTGACCGAAAGCGTTGAAAGATAAGTTACCTCCTAGTTTTCCTCTAACAACATCCAAGGCTTCCTGATACTTCTCCAAACGTTCCAGTATCATGTAGTAAAGTTCAACCTTAGAAGAAAGATTTGTACACACTGACATTTGGAAGTAAAACAAGTGAAAAGGGTCTGGAAATAAAAACAGTTTGTGCTTCTGTCATTAGGAAGAGGAGAAAGTCAACGCTGTCTGTAAAACTGTCTAACAGCCACCAGAAAGGAAAATTCAAGAATTTAATTTAACGCCCTCTAATCCCAAAGGATCCCTTGGGCTTTACAAACACTACAAAGAAATCACTTCATCTAGCAATGAACTCTTCACAATTTTACACCACCTACAACCTCTGCCCTCACTTCCTTCCAACACCCTTTCATTCCTTATGCTCCTCTATATCCTCTCTCCACACTGCTCCCTTTGTCTTCCTGCTCTCGCTCCCTGCTTCACACCTTATTTCATGCAGCAGTCTCCTACTTTCTGTACACCAACCACCTTCTCCTTTCTCAGTTTCTCTTCTCAAAACTCCCTTTGGCCATGGGGCCCCTGTGCTTATAAATGCATTGCTGAGATTCCCCCTCCCCCTCTTTGCAGCTACATTGCTGTCCTGTTCAACTAAATTCCAGTTTTCAGTTCTGATTTTTACTCACTTTCATCGTGTTATTGGTTACTTTTGCACCTTGTGACTTCCCAGAAAATTGTTATATAGGTTCACTTGACTACAGAAGTCTGTTTAATTAGCAATGAAAATCCATTTTTTAAACAAATGTGAATATCAACATTTCTTTTGTCTCCCATGTTTTCGCACTGTGTGTAACCACATAAGAAAAGCTGCTGACCATACTGCTTTGTTTGACCAAGAGGAGAAGCCCAGAGAGCACGGACTGGATGTGTCCCAGCGGAAAAAGTGAACAGGACATGTATTTCACTGACAGTCCCTTTGAAAGAATCTGACCAGTCTATGCTTTCTCAAAGTCAGCTTTGGAAGTTACTATTGCAATTGTCTCAACAGCTACTGTTTTTGGTTTAAACTGAAAACTAGAATCCCTGGCTGCAATGTATTTGTATTAAGTTTGTGTGTTCTTCTGAGACAGAGAACTTGTTTTCTATCTTAGGGGTTCTTAAACATCCATAGAGTGGGTCACACTTGTCTCACGGACCATGTTCTCTCTAGTCATGTCTGCATAGGCCCCCTTCCTTCACACTAGCAATCATATAACATCCCTGTGGCAACCACAGCAATTCCTTCCCTTGAACAGGAATATTAGGAGAATAATATTTGGAGCTGTTTTTATTGAGAGTTACCAGCTGGAAATGGAGAGCCAGCATTGACCAGCCGGCTCCCCCTGGATCACCAGCAAGCCTTCTACTTTGTGTACTTAATAATAAAAAAGATTACAGAGCACTATAATGGGAACCAGACTCAGTATTAGGTATGCTATACAAAGTAATTAAGCTACATTGTTAGCACAACGTAAAGCTCATACAATGTATTAACGATGCTCACATCAAGTAGAAAACACATTTGCAAAACTTACTTCAGCCTCAGCTTCAATCTTATCCTCCTTCACCATTTTTTCCACCATTCTTTCAGCTAGGGGCAAAAACATTGTTTTGGAGAGATTTTCATCTTGTGCTGAAATAGACTAGGGGAGAGAGAAGAATTACTGTAGCAATTTAACAGCCTTTCCTATTGTCCAACTCAAAATTAATTTTTTCATCAGGCGGGAAACATGACACGCATCAACCCACGAAATACCCGTCAGGGCTACCATCAGCTACATGCATGGACACAGAGTTTTGTAAAACATGCTGCTGGGGAAGCAACTGATGGTACAATGAAGTGCTCACTCTTCACAACTTGAGTCTCAGAACAACATAACAGACAACGTGTTAGCAATAAAAATACAAGTCACTTACTGAATTCACTTCTTCTACAATCAAATTATTTCAAAGCATACAATTATTATTTCCATGTTTATTTTTTGCCTGACTAAGGCTAAATCTATACTAGCATTTCTGTCTTCAGGGGTGTGAACCTCCTCCCTCCTGACTGAAATACATTTCACTGACAAAGTGCCGGTGTGGACAGTGCTATGTCGGTGGGAGTCACTCTCCCGCCAACATAGCTACTGCTGCTCGTTGGGGGTGGTTTAATTATGCTGACGGGACAGCTCTCTCCTGTTGGCACTGAGCAGCTACACGGGAGACTTTACAGTCGCGCAGTTGCAACAGTACTGCTGTAAGTCCATAGCACAGACATACCCTAAAGGAGGTCTGTCAGGAAGTTTGATTAACGCTCAAGTCTGTTATCTGTGCCAGTGCAAAATAGCATATTTTGATTTTTACTGTTGTAGGATTCTTGACGTCTAAGAGACGAGCAATACCAGGTAAGTTTCTGGACCAGACAGAAAATATAGATTTGAGGAGGGCTCGGTGTTTATACTGACTTTATACAGAAATAGTAGCACCCTACAATGCTAGCAGGCAGCCAGCCAGCTTATTTGAGAAAGCTACTGGGTATTTTTCATAATGTGAAAACACCCATAACATCTCAACGTTAACATTACAGCCACTGTTAAAGTCTTTAATTCAATCAAAATGCTGTATTCACCTGCATAATTAGGCTCATCACAGACCAAAAGTAGTAAGGGTTTTTGGGGACAATCTTATAAAGTGCCATTCCAGCCTGAAAAATAGAAGACATGTATCCATCATTTCAAAAATGCTTCAATTAATAAGGTGCATTATAGAAAGTGAAAGAGTGATAACAGTGACAAACAATTCCTGAGGATTAGCGACCAGATAAGAATTTATTAACCCCAACTGGATATACTCCCTAGGAAACACCCTCCACCGAGATCTATACTGGTAGTGACGCAGTTTCTCTCCCTGCATCTGCTGCTACTTTTTAAAGTGTATTATAGCTTCAGCTGGCCTGGAAAGGCATTTCTAGAAGAGTGATTATTTGAAGAGTCTATAGCTTTAGCTACAGGGTGCACGCGTGCGTACACACACTACCTACTTCTGCAGATTAAGGGAAGGTTTCAGCTCTGGTCTCCATTTTTGCACATGTTCAATTGTATACAGACAACCAAGCCCACGCTTTGCAAATGTAAACACCTGCACTTGAACATTTTTAACTTGCACATGCATGTGTTCGGATTTTGAAGGCATGTGGCACAAGAGACAGCTAA